GTACATAGTCTTTTTGCTATTTGAAAATCAATAACGAATTGTACGGACAACGTCCTCGGTATTTATCTGCTTGTTGAGCTTGTATAGTCATTCAATCACCAATAAAAAAAGAAAAAAGAAAAAGCATTCTTTTGCTGATATTGCAAATCGAACATCAGTCGAACATTCGCTGAAGACTTGAATCTCACACACAGAGTATAACAACAGCGGGGTTGAAGCAATGATTATATTTACGAAACAGTCGAATATATTCCGATTCGTTTATTCAATATCAATCTAAGCATTTCTACCACACAGTCTATTGTTTATTTGTGTCTTTATTCATTTTTATTATATGAAAAATAAAATCAAAAAAATCTCGTGATTTAACAATTTTTGGGCACATTATTTCTTTAAAGAAGTTGTAAGTAAATATTTCAAATACATATTAGATTAGTTCTCGAAGAAATACAAGTGAAAAATAAATTTAAATGATAGTATTTGAAAAATTTAATAAAATGTACATATTAAAGATGGCAAATGTGTCATATATATTTAAATGCAAAGAAACTTAAGAAGTACATTTGCTTTAATTTGAGGTCAGGAAGATCAGATTCGTCTCGGGTATTAGTATAAAATTATCTTGTCAGTATGGACATTATTTATTCATTAAAGAGTTCATGATCGTTATTATTATATTAAATTAAAAGTTCGCTCATAATGTTTGATATTGACTTTTATTTTGTTCGTGAGTATTAGAAAAAAATTCGTCTATTTCACATTATGAAAATTTTTGCGAAAAAATGAATACAGATTATATAAATAATAGAAGAGCAAAATCCTTTGTTTAAAAATATTTTGTTTCTTGTTTGTGGGAGAAATTTTAGTTTCTACATTAAAGTTGTAGGATTACTTGCTTAAAATTTGTTTATTGTTCTTTTGATTAATTTAAGTGGTTAGAAAATTAAAGAAAAGGTTTGACATTATTTCATTGAAGTTTCTTTCTTTTTTTGCAAATGAGGAATTTTTTTATTCCATTCACCAAGAATTGTTCAATTATATATTATCTAGTTAGCTCAGGTGATTGTGTAGGTTAACGCATTTGAATGTGTGGTGCCACTTTATTTCAAAATCGAAGAGCTTTCTTGAATGTTGGTTATTAATAGAACTCAGTCCCACTCTAATCGCTTTGGGGCCATTGACCAATGTTTACAAATATATATTTTGCAATTACGGGGAGGGAACGCCTAAAAACTTATAGATCTTTAATTGTTCCATTTTTTTTCTTCTTTGATGGCATAATTGTAAATTTTTTCTTTAGTAGGATCTTTTAATAGTTTATAATTATTACCGACGTTTCTTTACACTTTCAGAAGAAGTATTTTTTTATTCTCTTTGAAGTATTTTATCTTAAACAGGGTTGCCACAGGTCAGGGAATTCAGGAAAAAGTCAGGGCAACCAGGGAAAAATCAGGAATTTTTATTAAAAATTTTGAAAAAAATTAAATTTTTAGAATTTATAAAAAAATTCTGATTACTGAAATTCAATGATTTTCAAAAGTGATAAACTTCATCGCATAAATTCAAATATGTTCAAAAATTAAAAAAAATTCTCCTCAAAATTTCAATTATCTTTATAAATAATAAAATTCTTCTCCAAAATTCAATTATTTTCAAAAAATTTAATAAAATTCTTGGCAAAAATTCAATCATTTTCAAAAATTTTCCTCATTTCAATTATTTTTAATATCTACTATTTTTATAAAATTTTCCGAAAGAATTCAATTATTTAAACAAAATTTTAATAAAAATTTCACAGCAATTCAATTACTTATCAATTTTTTATAAATTTCTTCGCACCAATTCAATTATTTTTAATTTTTTTTATCAAGTTTCTCAAAAGAATTCAAATATATTCAAAGAATTGAAAAACATAGTTCTGAGAAATTTAATTATTTCGAAAAATTTAAATAAAATTCTTTTAAAAATTATATTGTTTAAAAAAATTTTGTACAAAATTCTTTAAAAGATTTAGTTAATAAAAATTACAATTTTATTAATATTTTCCTATACAATTTAATTATTTTCAATACAATTCTTCTTAAGAATTCAATTATATTTAAAAAAAAAATTTGAATAAAATTCTTCGCAAGAAATCAATTTATTATTTTTAAAAAAATTCATAAAATGCTGTATAAATTTGAAAAATTTGAATAAAATTGAATACAATTACTTTAGTAAAATATAACATTCTTCCTAAGAATACAATTATTATAGTCAAAAATGTTTGTAAAAATCTTCGAAACAATTCAATTATTTTCGTAAAAAATAAAATTCTTCGAAGCAATTCAATTATTTAAGAAATTTTAATAAAATTCTTGTCAGGAATTTAATTCTTTTCAAAAATAAAATTCTTTCCAAGAATTCAATTCTCTTCAAAAATAAAAATTTTCACAGGAATTCAATTATTTAAAAAGAAATTTAATAAAATTCTTCGTCAGATTTAAATTATTTTCCATTTTTTAATGAAATTTCTCGACGGAATTTAATTATTTTTAAAAAGTTTTTAAAAATTCTGAGAAATCGCAGAATTTCAAAGATTTTTTATACAATTTTAAATAAAATGATAGAAAGTTGCATTTATTCTTAAATTTTTTTTAAATTCACCGAAAGAATTCAATTATTTTTAAAAATTTTGATAAAATTCTTCATAAAAATTCAATTTTAAGAAATTTTCAATTATTTAATTAATTATTTATTTTTGTATTATAACGTGAATTTTTTAGAAATAATTGGATTTTGAATAGGGTTCAAATTAAAATCTTTGAAAATTTAAATTTATAGTTACAATATTCATATGATATAAAATAATGATTTATATTATGTTTTATAATAATATTCTCGTAAGTTATTGAATTTCAGAAAGTTTGAATTTGAAAATCTTAATTACTATAGAAAAATAATAACGATTAAATATTTATTTAAAAAAGAAGTTATTGATGTTTTCAAATAATTTTACAATTAAGGAAATTCGTAAATAAATGTAATAGAGCATTTTTTTGAGTATCTATTAATTTTTGGAGTGAATAATATTCAGGGTCAGGGAAAAAGTTAAAATTTTGTCTGTATTTTATTTTTTCTAAACCATTTTATCAGTATTTTTACTTCTTAAAGATGATCCACAATTTCTTAACTTTCAGTTGATCGAAATTTTTTGCCAATATAAATATTTTCAAAAATAGATGACTGTCATGCAAAGCAGTAGCAAAATTGAATATTCAAAATCTTTATAATTTAGTTTCTTAATACGTAATGCAATATTATCGCAATAAAAATTTTAATTCGATGAAAAAATAAATAAATTTTGTTCGTTTTGAACGTTCAGAACTTTAGGGACTTTCCAAAAGTATTTTATATTACTTTTTTCAATATTTTTTACTTTCTTAAAATATAAAATTAAATATATTTCATAAAGAAGTATATTTTATGCTGATAAAATAACTTCTATTTTGTACTTCTTAAAATGTTTTATATACCTCTTAAAGAAGAATATTTTATGCTGCCAATAGAATTTCTAAAAGTGTATATCAATTTTTTTGTTAAGAATTCCGGAAAAAAACAAAAAAATTAATTCAACTGCTGATGTGCAGTATTGTATTACTTAACACTATGCAATTGTTATTAAATTTGCGGAAACTCTTTGGAAAAAGAATTAATTTTACTATTACACACAGTGTGACAAAATATTTATCGCAAAAATTTTATCTGAAAAAGTGATTAAAACATCATAAGAATTTATTTCTCACGTATGTTTCTACATATACATAGCAAATGACTTGTTTCCTGTTTGGTTTGAATTAAATAACAGATTATAATACACCGATTTAGATGAAGTACAAACACTTAAATTCTCTTTGGAGTTTGGAACTTCCGACTTTTAATTTCTAGTCTCATTTTTTTATTCTTCCAACAGTTAAAAAATTTTTTGATTCGACTCTTGTTCTTGAATCAACTAAAGCGCTTGTAGAAATTAGTTACAAAGAAACAATAGATATTCTTTTACGGCTTAGGAGCTTTTAAGTGTTTAAAAAGTAGTTTAAGGGAAATAATAAATAATAATTTTGTTTCTGCTATTTCTATAGTCACAATTTTTATTAAACACGGTTTCTGCTGTCCAAAGTAAAAAACCTTGTTAGTTCTGAGCATTTACTGTTAGGTTGAAAATCGCTTAGCGTTTACGCGCCTTTCGACATTACTGCAAATACGAATTACTAGGTTTTTACTTTGGTACAGTAGGTAATGTCTAAAAATACGAAATAGGTTTATAAATTTACTCATTTTATTCTGTAAATCAGACAAAATGTGGATTTTGTTTGTTTTTGGTGACATTTGTTTTTCTGAAGTATTACTTGAATGTTGTTGATTCAGCGTTTAATTGCTTAGATAATTTTGATGATTCTTTTATTTGTCATTATAATCATGATCATACCATTTTTATAAAAATGGAACCTCGATTATATCCGATCCTCTGTTATCCGAACGGCAAATCATTTTATCCGAACTTTTTTTCTCATCTTCAACCCGAAATTTCGTTTTTTACATCCATCGGTACAAACATCTTTCTCAAGAAATTTTATCTGATTTTGATGTAAATACATGAAAGAAAGATATAAATGCCGTGCAATAGGGTAAAATAACTTCAAGAGAACAATTTATCCGGAATTATAAACGAAAATATTTGCAATTGTTTCTTTTATTTAAACTTTCGATTATGGACCAGGTCCTGCTCGAATTAATTTGGATACTCGAGGTTCTACTTCATTATCATCTGCATCATTATCAGCATCACCATTTTTGTCTACATCATCATTATCATCATCTTCTTCAGCGTCTTGTTCATCACCTAACTATCTGATGAGAAATATTTTCTGACGATGCTCATTCTTGAAAAAGAAGAGTACCAACTAACAATACTAACGTGCAAGATGATGATGATGATGATGATGATGATGATATATACACAAGTGGCTGTAATTATCGTCTACTGATTGGTCACCTTCGTCGCGGGTGTCCAAGATGGTTGGCGACGATGTCGGTGGGGATAAGAAGAGAATCAAACAGCACTAGAACGTGATCAAAACGTGGTGTAGGAGGAGGCGGTTTTCGATTCGCTTGGTGTTGGTGGCTTCTGATATCATGACAAGGAGGGGATTGTGCGGCTAAAGATAAAAAAAAAGGAGGGGGCACACATTGGTCTTTTGGAGAAGGGGCTGTTTACTTGCTATTCACTGTGTCAGCTTGACAGACATAACCACAAGCACAAACTATATGCGTTCGAAAAAGCAAAAAGCGACAAGACAACCACTAGTTTGCATTTGACTTTCATCGATGTACGATCGTGTTTAATTATCATTAGTAACTGTGCGTCACTTTTTTGAGATATACTTGTCAACAAGTTCATATACACATATATTTATATTAACAAGTTTATATGTATGCTCGAATAAGAGGCATTAATGTTACATAATTTGCTTAAAATCATGATTCAAAAATCGTAATGGACCAACTGTCTTGGAACTTTGATGACGAGGTTAAGGAAGAGGAAGAAGAAGAAGAGGGACGCTTGGCATTGACTAGAAAACGCCGAATGTGTAATGAAGTGAACTTGTGTCACAAAAAGCATTCATTGTTTTGTGTGTGTTCCGTGTCTATCAGTGATAATAGTCACTACGGTAATAGTTATTGTAATCTTTTTATAAAACGATAAAGTGCATTTATGTTCATATATTAGTGAAAAGCAATCGGGAGAAGAATAGCGAAACGCTTCTTGAATGGCCCCTGATTTTGAAAAGAGGAGGGAAACGAGGAGGACAAAGGGCTCTGATTCTGAAATTCCTCTTCTTAACGGTGCTGAAGGGATGCTTTTTCTAAGGTGCAAGGGAAGCTCCTTGACGGATTTTTATCGTCACGGTAATCACGCGATTGCTTTTTTTTTATAACTTTCGTCAATCTTTAGTGCTGAATAGTGTTAAAAAAAAAGTACTTTTTCTAATGTCTATTGTCGTTTCAATAATGCTCGACTAGACCAGTACACTGTCCATGGCTGAAATTTTTAGTTTATAATTTTATAAATCCGTAAATAGCATCATAATTGAATGTAAAAACTGTTGGTTCAAATTTAAGCATTCGATAGAAATAAACCACAACAGAAATTCTTTTTCGGTGTTTAATTTCTCATCATTTAATGTCTTCTTGTTTCGTTAAGATTATCCTTTTTTTCTCAAATTCTTCCATAAATGAGTGTTAATTTTGAATACATTGAGGACAGCTATAGATTCGCTTTTTGATGCTTGTTGATGATGGTAGATGTTCTACTAAATGTTGATGTTCTAGTTGTTGTGGGACAGGTTTTTTGCAGGCGTTTCTCTCTTAGGAATTTCAAACTGGAATTAATCAAGCATTTATGTAAGCATTTCATTCAAGGAGAAGCAATTTACTCTTCCTTCCAGACTTGTGTGTATATACATATGTTTACATAAAAGTCAATTAAAGTTTACTTTAATGTCATGTTATTGTTACTCATTTATCATAATGTAAAAAAGAGTCTTGTCGTTTTCCTTAAAATTGCATTATGTATGTTTAGGAGATGTTTTATTATATTGTTCTTGTCGCATGAGAATCATTTATTTCGAAACGTGCATGGAAAACATTTTGTATTATAAATCTTTTCTTGAATATTTCGAGTTGGTTTTTTTTTTGTCCAAACAAATTATGCTTTCATCCAAATTATGCTATTTGACTATATATTGTTGCTTCAATTTACATTCAAAAATTCTTTCTTAACATTGAATTATTGCTCTCTCTTTGGAATATATTTTGCGAAATTGTGCCTTTATGAATATGTCTTCCACCTTGTACTTAATTTGAATTGGAATATACTGATAATGATTACAACTACCTTCTTTTTTATTTCTCTCTCTATTTTTCTCCTGAAAAAATTAAAAACAAGTTTTTTAAAAATTAAATGTCTTTCATATCCAATTTTATTGCTGTAAAAAGAAAATTTTAGAAATGTTTTGCTGGATAAGGCTGTCTTAAAAATATAGCATCTTAAATTAAGAAAAAAAATCTTCTTAATTTTTTAGTTTTAATTTTTGAATAGCAATTAGAAAATCAATCTGTACTTTTATATAAAAATACTATAAATATTTAGCATTTATTATTAAATCAAAATTTTTTATATAAATTCAAATTTTCTTTCGAAAGAAAGTCGAAAGCATTTTTCACCGGAGCATTTGTATTATTTAAAAATATTGAAATCAAACTGAATTATTATTCTGCTTCTGAAATGTAAAAATACAAATGTTTCTTTTTTTTCTTCTTTAACTATATCAGTGAATTTAATCGCATCTCCTTTTGGAGAGGAAAGATCGAATATCGTTTGAATTATCTATATAAAAGCCATAAGAACAGATCTATTCGTGATTTTCTTTTATTTAAAGAACATTTTTTTTTTCACTTGAAGAAACCATTCTTGAAATCGATGAATATTTCATATTCAAAAATGAATTTTTAACGATTTTTGAAGAAAATTTTTTTCTTTGACATTATTTCGGAGGAAAAAAATATTTAAAATTTAAAAAAAAAGTGAATTTTACAGAAATATTATATCTTTTTATTATTATAGTCTGTAAGAATATATTCTAGAATTTGTGAATTCTCGTGTGTTTTTAAATAGTAAAAAACATGAAATCTTTTGAATTTTTGATTAGTTTGTGAAAAATTTCGTTAATGAATACCTTTTTAAAGATGCATTTGGCTTTGATGCTTAGGGTACACTTACCTCAGCCTTGAGACTCGAGAACACTGTGGTTAGTGCGATTATTCTGTTCATAATCTAGTAGTATATAACGATGTTTATCGATCCTGTTATCGAGGCTACGTCGAATTGCCATCAGTTTTCCTAGATATGAATAAAACGCAAACATCTCTCTCTAGAAATCCAAACCGTAAGTTGTTGCCTGATACTTCGACAACTTTCGATCATGATGATGACGATGATGATCCTCAACAGTTCAGAATGAAAGTTGTTTGTTTACATTAAAAATGCATCATTTTATTTATATTGCTGCATAAATTTTTTATATAATTTAGTTATTAACTATTATTTATTACAATATATTATATTATAAAAAATTTATACATCAATATGAATAAAATGCTGTATTTTAATTATTAATTATTAAAATTACAGGCCTCGAATAGTATGACTTTTAGGACTTTTTCGACTTATTTTTAAAAATAAATGAGACTTTTCTACCAAATATTGCAACCAAATATTATTCTTTTGGTACAAAATTTAGCATATTTCGATTTTGATAGTATGAAAAAAAATCAGTAAAATACTTCAAAAATTATTTTTGAATACATTTTTTAAGATAATTAATGTTTTGAAATAGATAATTAAACAATTGGAACATTTTAATATTTCATTAAAAATAATTAAATTTTTAAAGCATTTCATTAAAATTTTTGAAAATTTAATTTTAAAGAATTTTAATTACACACTTTGAAAATAATTCAATTCTCAAAAATTTTATATTCCTAAAGTTTTTAACGTTCAAACGAAAAATTGTATTTTTTCTGCTTTTAATTTGTTTCTTTATACAGAAAATTATTTTATATAATAATAAATTGTTTGTTAAATATAAGTAAATATTTAATTTCAATTTTTTCATTTCTTATAGGTAGTAGTTTTGAAAAATATTTAAATAAAAAGAAATTACATTCATTTTAACATTCCAAACTTTAGGAAAATATAATTTTAATAAAAAATCTTTGAATGGAAATTTGAAAATGAAAATTAATGAAAGTTATTTTGAAAAAATTATATTAAAATATTTTTTGCAAAAGTAATTCTTAAAATTTTTTTTTTTTCTTATAAATTCTTTAAATATACCTAATTATTTTCAATTCTTTCAATTACATACTTCCGAAAATACAAATGACTACAAACCATAATTAATGTTAACATTTTTTAATTATTAATATTTAATAATATTTTAATATTAATAATTGTTAAAATTTTTGAAAAAATGATCGTTTTCAATATTTTTGAATAAATTTTTCAAAAAATTTTTATTTTTATTTTATTTTATTTATTTAACAGGCAAAAAAAAAATTTTTTTTAAATTGATTATTTTTAATTGCTTTTAAGAAATTCAATTATTTTTGAAAATATTTACATTACAGTGTTTCAAAAAAAATTATTCTTAGAATTTTTTCATCAAAATTTTTTAAAATTCAATTATATTCAAATTTTAAAGAAATTAAATTCAAATTTTTAAAAAATCTATTTTTTAAGACTTTTGTTAAAATTAAAATATTATTATTATTATTATTATTATTATATTTTTCATGAAGAGGTCACAATTTTATTTCTTAGAAATATTTAAATTTTACGAGGATTGAAATTTAAAGAATTGTGGTTCTGTGGAAAAATAAATTTTTCCATTATTTAAACGAAAGAGGATTTAGATATTTATTTTACCAAATCTTTAAAGTTTTTAATAATTTAATTTAGAAGTCAGTGAATGGTCAGGAAAATACAAAATAGAAGTTTCGTGACAACACTGAATAAAATAAACGACTTTAAAAAAATTTTTTTTGTATCTTTAATCGGCTAAAGCGACTTTTTTGCACCTTAAAGTCGATCCGAGGCCCGACATTATTTATTAACAGAAGAATTAATCCACTCTATTAATATTCATCTTGATGTGAATCCAATTTGCTAAAATTTTTCTCTGGGAAAAAAATATTCTTTCTTCAAAATTAGAGAAATTTTATATATAGAATTGCAGAATAATTTCATAAAATATTGCTTCCAGTTTTGGCGAAATTTAAAAAACAGGGAATTTTCACGTCAGTCAGGCCCCCATGAAAAAATAAAGGTAAATAGATTGTAAAAAAAATTTCAAATACGTATTCTTGTAGATAATCAAAATGCGCAACTCTTTTTCCTTAAAAGTATATTTTTGAATCTGAATATTTTAGATAATTTAAACCGTCCGAGCGGCAAATCGAGTTTTTTTTTATCCTGTAGCTCAATTATCTTTAAAAATTACTGACTTTAATAAAATTATAAATGTAATTTAAATAATTTGAAACTTTGTTAATTTTTTTAATGCTATTTTTAATACATAATTGGAATTTGGAGAAGAAATAAATATAATTTCGTTCATTTCAATGTTCGAAAATTTAAGGACATCTTTGCCAAATAAAATATCCTTTTTTCAAAAATTAGAGAAATTTTCGAATCTGAGAATAATTTCCTATAATATTTGCTTTTAGTTTTAGCGAAATTTCCAAAGAGAAAGAAAAATTCCACCCCATTCTAAATTAATTTAACTGCATTTATTTATGAAAATTGATTGATAACTGTGAAAAAAAAATATAATCAATCGAAATGGTCGAAATATTATACTTTGAATAAAGAAATTTTTCCAGTAGAATCGAATGAAAATTTTCCAGGCTCAATTTGAAGGCTCGATCGAAGCAATAGCTGGCATCGATTGTCTCGGATTATAAGTTTAAGTTGACGTATCATTGATGCAAAATACGTTTCAAATATAATCGCTGTGGTTTCCTTTGTTTTTTTTTTTTATTTAAAGAGGGTAAAATATTTTCTCAGCTTGAGAATTGAATCTGATGTTTTTTAATTTTAATGAAAAAATACATAATAGTATGGTAAAATTGATATGGGATGGAAAGGAAAAAATCTCGTATTGATTTATAAAGAGTATTATGCATGTGTGGTATGGTTATATATAAAAACGTGTCCTAGATCCCAGAGGAATTTTGCATATGATTCCTAGGTCGTTGACATCGTTCTGTGATTTTCCTTTAACTCGTCACAGACAAACACGTACACAAATGCACCTGCACGTGTTCATGTGATGACCATTACGTCG